GCTCAGCCGTTACAGAAGGGATGTGCAGCTTAAGCTCCATTTACTATCTGTCTATTGCCTATGCCGCATCCCCCTTTAGCACCGCTAGCTAGGCTGTTAAATACCGATTATATAAATGATGTGAGGCGAGCCTACGATGCCTTCTTTTTGCTTCTGGCGGCTCCTGCGGAGAGTAGGTTTTCAACACGTTTTGTGGGTACTTCAGCTGGCAACCCCTCTACTTACATAAAAAGTAAAAATACTTCTCGCCACGCTAGCCCACTTTCGGCGGGAGCACGAACTCCGCAAAGCGGGATAACGTCGAAAAGTATATCGATTTTTGTATTGAGGAGTGGGTGCATAGTCCTGTGACAAGCACTAGATCCTCCACTAGATCGCCAAGCAGCCAGACCAGTGGGTAGTAACGCCGGTAGATCTTAGATAGGTTAGTATGGAGCTAAACTGCACCTCTCTTCAATTCTATTGAGGGGCTGTCGTTAGGATGTTTCATTAAGACAGCTTCTTCGATCAACTGCACCAAAATCCGCCTATCAGCAACTTATTGGTAGGCGATAAGGGATTAAACATCATGATTATTACTCACTCAAAATATGCAAGGGTGTCAAAAATAACTCATTTCGCTGATCCGATGCATGTCCTACTCATCGCTTGCGTGTCCCACCCATCCATTACCCATTCTATTGATCGAACGTGACCACAACTGACGCCATGACATGTTTCTTCTTTCTAATTTCTTCTTTCTGATCACCAGGATATGGAGAATCCCACCGGCAAAAACGGACAGGAGGCGTATGCATGTGAAATCCTGTATCACAAGGAACATCGGGTCTCTGGTCTTCGTGCCGGTCATTGTCACAATTGAGATTGAATTAGTAACGAGACGGAACAGATGCGATATGAACCGCCTTCTCGTTCGACTTATATAATGGCCCATTCATCCACTTCAAAACAGCATCTATTCGTATTTGAAACCCATCAATAGTCTTTCATCTGTCATTCACCTCACCTCATCCTTTTCAATATGTCTCTAGTAACACCTTCATCGTCCCAATCAGGGAGTACCCCCGTGAAACCTTTCAAAGGATTTGCGAAGGTGTTCAATTCGCCACGCACCATCTCACCATCGATCCCACTGCACGATTTGTCAGAAATCATCGAAGATGCAGTTCAGCAGGCATTGAGTACTCAACTAAGAGAGCTAATGGCTGCGATGACCAAGCAGTGCTACAAACCCATGCATTCTTTGACGGCGGAAATCAAATCTTTGAAGACCTTCATTGAGAAACGGCAAAAGCATGCGCCATTCCGCTCACTAGATGCGATTTTACTCAGAGTCGTGCTCAAACTGACCATGGCTGACACTGAGAAGATGTCGAAAACGATACCCGCTACGAGACTGCAGATGGTGCGGTCGCTAGGCTATCCTTATGACCAAGTCACATCTATCAGGCTATACTCCAATCTGAACGAGTTAGCTGTTTACACAGATTCTTTTCCGATACAGGAAGAGCTGAAGAAAAAGGAGAGCGTGGCGGCTATGGCGGATGCGCTTGGCCTTGAACACGAATCATCGATCAAACTGGACACCTACTGGGTTGTCTTGCACGAATACGACATTCCATCCGATTATCTGTGGAATTGCAAGAAACATCTCCAAGAGATGAAATCTCAGACGGGCCTCAACATCAGTGAAGTTAAGTACTCGGGACAGAAACTCTTGTGGGGCTTCAGTACTCCTTCTGAGGCCATACAGGCGTGCCAGAAACCTCTGTACTTTGCAGGAGACCACGCAATAGCTATGTGAGTATGATCGAATGTGCATGGAAGTAGGAGTCGTACTGATTTAGCTTAGGGCTTATGATCAACGTGCCACAGCTGTATTCTGCAGGAGATGTGGTGGCCCAGGCCATATGGCTGACAACAAGCAATGCCCAAATGTCTCTCTCAGAAAAGACCAGGGCTGGCCGTGTCTCATCTGTGCCGAGAATCATAACGTTCAAGGAGACACTCAACCGTGCCCAAACAAAGGCAACAAAGCATCTCACCGCTGCCTGAACTGCAGGAAAGCCGGACTTGCTGATGACAAGCATCGAACTGATTCATACGACTGCCCCGCGCCAAATACGGTCAAATTCCGCGCAACCTGGAAAGCCATGGCGGCCAGTCTTCCTGATTGGGCAGTGGGCATCGATTTTCCAACCACAGATCAACTGCGTTCTCAAGTTGAGGGAGGAACCATGAAGCAACCCAAGGGGCCCAATGAAAGCAAGGGAAAGGGCAAATCCAATGCCCGAGTCCAAACGGGCGGAGAGAATTCTCGCCCAGGCACATTTGTTGTGAACAGGGGAGGTTTGATGGCACCCAAGAACACCAAGCAACCGGCACCAGAACCTGAGGCGATGGAGGTTGTCGATGTTGAACCGAGCGCCGACAAGTCCAAAAACGGGGCTACCCGGGAAACGGCAATGCTGGTATCATCCCAGGGCTCTCTCGGTTCAAGCTCTGCCAGCACTCCCCGAAAGAAGACTGGGCCTGCCAACAACCAGACCTCAATTTTTGGCTGGGTTGAACGAATTGGCTCCCCTTCCAAGAGCCCCACAAGTACCGCATCGAGTGCTGGCAACAAAACAAGTACCAACACTCCAGTTCGTGGCGGAAAAGGTGGCAAGACCGGGCCCAACCACAAGAGGGGAGATGTCGCAACTACCATTGCGGAGGGCAGAAAGAGGGCCCGTACAGAATCCGAATCGAGTTTACGGGGCTCTCGTTCCAGGCGCAGAGTTGACGTTGACGATTTTGACACGGCCAGCTCTTTAGCGGAGTCCTCTAGTTCCCAACAACAGGCTACTAACACTGTCGACTCTACCAAAAAACATGGCAAGGGCAAGGGCAAGGGCAAAGCACCCGTTGAAACAAGAGACAGCGACGTTGAATGTGTTGAAGAGTCAGAATACTTTGACGATTCGGAAAGTGATGGATACAACTAATCGGTATTCTTCAGTCGTTCAATCTTTCACCCATTCATTCACGAAACCATTCATTCGTTTATAAACAAGTATTGTATCTAGTCCTTCCTTCCAGAGAGTTTACTATTCAAACTCACCTTTCTCGCCTTTCTCCTGCTCCTCTAAACGGCCGGTGACTCTTAAACGCACATCACAATATCCTCCTCCTCCTTCTGCAAAACACACATTGCCTAAGCGGCCATCGCCTTTTTTTGGCATGACTTGACGTTGACATACGCGCTAAACCCTTCGAGTGATAATGTGAGGGGGGGGGGCAGCGGGTAATCAAGCTACATCCGCGCCCTCCCGTCTTCCCCACTAGCTCGAGTGACATCCCTGATAACTGATAAGTGAGGATTCAGTGGACCCGGACAACATGCTCGTTTTCGTCACTATCGGCGCACGCGGCCGGTGCATGTGGGCTTTCCTCCGTGGATCAGAAGATAGGTAGCTGGTGGGTAAAAAAACATTACACTTGTCCCAATAATACAGTAGCGCAAATGCTTAGTAAAGCTAACACTGCGGCCCTTCTTGACCATTGAAAAACATTCAATAACTTTTGTGTATACAAAACGTATTTTATCCACCCAGTCAATGTTATTTGGACCTATTTATCCCGAGAATATGAAGACTGGAGCCAACCACAGTCTCTTGACTACCTTTCTGAAGATTGCAGCCCAGATCGCAGACCTAAAAAAAGGACAATTTGAGTATCGCTGAGGACGCATTGAGTAGCTTGTAGCTCTTTTGCTACCTTATTAAAAGTGCAAAATACATATGAAGACGCGGTGCCAATGAAGATCGGGGTACTTGATAAAAAAGAATAATTAACCTAATTCAGAATGTGCAATGCCGTTATCATGATTTCAGCTGTGATGTGGGGTACTATTGCTGGAGCTGCTTTCTTCTCATCCGGCTATTTCGGTCCACCAAGAGACATTGCATTCTCAACACTAGCCACAACCATGAGTGTAAACCCCAGACTTGGGATCAATCAATCTGTTGATTCTTGATTGATAGATTGAATCATGAGAACTGTCCAGCTCAACACCAAGACGCTGCCATATCCAGCTTTTATTACTAAATTAAGGAAACTTGAATTGAAAACAAGCAAGGCAAGTCACACGCTCAATTGAAACTTTGCAAAAAAACATGCGTCGATCAATTCAATTTCATTCGCGACGTCTTCGAGGATCTATCGAATCGAAAATGAGCCTTCGGATTGATTGACTTGGATCGATCCCCAAGTCCAACAGACTCGAAATACTCAGTGGCAAATTCTGAATTTCCCCTCCCATCTCTCTAACTGACCGAAACACCAATATGCGGCAAAAAAAAACAAGGAAAAAAAAACGATCAACGATCAACTCCGCCCTATGGCACATAGGCAATAAAAAGCGCAATGCAATCAACTTCTTCATCAAAGATTACAAATACTGCACGCAACACTAGAACAACTATGCATACCCCCCGCCGACACGGCCTCACGATGCAAAAAATCATTCCCACCGATTCGAAACCCCGCAGTCGGCGGTTTCTCCGTCACACATGCATTGGCGCCAACAGCCAAAGAAGCATGCGGCTCCGCCTCGCTAACAAACTCGACGAATCTATGAAAACGCAGTCAGTGATTTCGGTTCCGCTCAATGGATCAATCAAAACCAAGTAAACGAAAAATGTGCATACTGTTTGTCACTGTTCGTGGAGGAAACACTCCACAGTTGACGCCTGACTACGTCCTGCAAGCTCACTAGCTCAGCGGGGGTTGCTTTGTTTTCCATCCACGCTATACGTTGTTGGATCCAGAGCCTCATTGACTGGGGTAAACACGATTCAGCTCCGTAGATGTACAGCTGGTACAGTACGTGGTAGAAACTGTGGGGGTTGGACTCGGGGGTGCGAGCAGTGGCGCATCGCTGGGTTGGATACCTTAGTTCATACGAGATGCCTTTTGGGGCTGGTGCTGTGTGTATGACGGGTGTAGGTGGTGCTTCAAGGTCTTCGAGGTAGCCTGCTAGCTGGGGCACGCTCGCCATCATTTCTGTCGTCAGTGCAACGATGACGGCTTCGGATGTTGCTTCTTGAGCACTTAGTTTTAGGGTCGGCGTAAGACTTCGAGATTGCCGTAGGATGAGCTGGTGGAGGCGTATGCGGGATGAGCGAACGTTGTTCCATAGATGGGCGTGGAGATGTTGAGGGTATACTTCCAATTGGGTTAGATATCCATACCAATCAATCAATACTGGATCATGGATACTTACTGTGATAGTATCCTTTGTACGCCAGATGCTCGCTCTCACCAGCGGGTAGGTGGATAGATTCAAACGGAATTTGACGGTCCAATATAAGTGCAAAGTCTTCCAGAGAGGTATCGATATTCAAAGCCTTTCCAATAATGGCAGCAGGATCATCCTGCATTGAATTCTGAATGTCCTTCTTGAACTGAAGCAACTCCATGACGATGTTCAAGAACATTTCGTGTACAGAAATGCGTGCAGCTTTCTTTTCCACTAGATTCTTAAATTCGGAAAAGTTGGGCGGTAGAGATATTTGTTGCACCCAGCAGTTCATGATGACAGTCTTGACTAGTGCCGTACACTGTTGTAGCGTGACATCAGTATGTCTCTCCTGCTTCAGAATCAAGTGTGCCACTGATACAGCACCTGCTAGATGCGTGCAGCAGTTATCCATGCCGATATGTCGTGGGATGATCAGGGCTTCGAACATGGCTGCCATGAATATAGATGCGAGTATGGAGTCCTGAGCTGCCTTCTTTGGACACAATAGAGCAGCGTTTATAACTCGTATTGCAGTAGCGTAATTGTTTGTAGCGACATCCAGCATATCCTTCCTGTGAGATTTGTTCGCAAGGCTGACTAGCCCGACAGCTGCACACATCTGTCGTAGTGCAGGCCCAGAGAAACCTGATCGAGCATAATAGCCGGGGAGATAGTGGATCAGTGACATGTTTGGATCGTCCACGATGAAGTTGTTCATGAAGAAGTTGACCCCGAGGTCGTCCAGCGGCTGATACATGACGAAGCCAGCCAATCGCAAAGGTGATTCGGGTGGTTGTTGATTTTTAGGTCGTTGAACTAACATCTTGCTGGCATGCTCATCGTCCAGAAACATTTTCCTGGCTGAAATGCGACCCCTGTTCTGTGTAACTACTCGGCTACTTTCATCGAGGAACATAAGGTCGACCATGTTGCGGTACCCTGAGCAGCCACGGCCAGCCTTGGTGCACTGTCCACAAGCAGGCTGTTTCTTGTCACACTAACAAGTGTCAGTGATGTAGGAGTGTGCAGGACGAACAGCAGTTGCCATTCAGTCGGCGAGTCATATAAACTCGAGCACAAGGAAAAGGAAGGTGGATACAACAGGGGTTCTCCATATGAAAGTGAATACTCACCCGGCTGCGCAGTTTTCTACATTCAGCGCATGCAGCTGAAGGCTTGCCGCGATACACCATTGTGTACAAGCGCTGTCACCCACGCACCGGTATTGGCGACACTCATCTCAGCATTTTGTATCCAAATGTAGGGGTGGCATGACCAGGTACGGGTTGAAGGATTGGGGCGAAAAGGAAGGAGGAGGGAATTTTCCTCCGCCCGTAGGCATATTGCTCTATCGGCGCCAAGTTGGCACCATTGGTTGGGAGACAATGCAAGGGAGCGGCGATGATGTACGCTCCTCGGAGCGCTTATCGATAGGTCTCACCTGAGACCTGTGGCTTGTATATATCCCCCTCCCATCCATCATTCTTGAAGACATTTATGATGTGACTACATGGAGACTTTTGATGCATGGTGTTGTGTGATATGATGGAATGAAAATAGGCCAAATCGAACAAGCTTTCAAAAGTGCTTTTTCTACACATTACATAACAGGGTACCCGTCAAGCGCATAACACATCATCCCATCCTCCGACCATAGTACCAATCGGATGTACTGCTTATGAGAACATATTTGGTCTCGCCTTCTTCAGGCTCGACTCATCTTCGTACTGTAGTACATTAGCGACATGTCGGCTGAACCCGTTTCTACGCAAACGACTTACTTGTAGGAATCCAGTAACGTCAACCAGTACTGTCCAGCAATCCACCAAGTCCACCAGGTTCTGTTGTACCTCCTCACCCTTTCCAACACCTACGTTGACACTTCTCTTGAAGATGCTGACCATGCTGTGCCTATTGTCCTTCAAAAACTCTCTTGCTTGGAACACCGTCTGATCGTTTTGTCGTCCTCTTGCAATGACTGCGGCATTAATCACTCGCAGCACAGCCAGCATAAGCTCGTAATATTTGCGCAGAGCATTCGCGTCGTCGAATTCGAGACCGATGTCAGGGTCTACGGAGAAAATTTGTGAGTCTCGGATAGCCGGAAAGAGGCCTGCGTTGAGCACATGTGCCGCTCCTAGACGAGATTGACATATACGGAGGAGGAGCGCGAGACTAGCGTCATAGTAGGACAGTAGAACTGGCACTTGTGGTGCGGTCGCAGCGCGGAGTTCCTCGGGGATGTGCTTGATGTTGTCAACTAGGACACCGATAAAGTTGAGAGATACAAAGCTTTCGAGTATGTACTTGGAAGACTGGCGTGTAGCAACTGCTACGAATGCATTGAGAAGAAGGAGTGCAGAGACCTTGCACGTTCCTTGACCACTGTAGGCATCATCGCAAATCACTTCGAGCATATGGCTTCCACAGTTCCTGATTGCGTTGAGTGTGTGACGGCCAAGCACGGAGTTTGGCGTTGCCTTCTGGAAGGTACCGTGCATGTAACGGAAGCAAATCTGGTAGCAGTATTCCCGCAGTTCAGCTGTAGAGACTGGACTATGAATGCCAATCAGTGCAGCATGGAAGAGTTGCGACAATCGGTCGTTGGCAAAGTCGCCAGTTTTGTCGAAGGCTGTGGACTCGAAGTCAACCTTTTGAATGAGAGATTCGGCAAGGCTGGCGAGCTGTAGAGCAGTGAATATGTCGGTGGCATATGACTGTTCGAGCTTTGGAAGGATGACCTGCAAGGTTTGTAGAATGAAAGAGCTTCGAGCTCCGTTCTCAAAGTCGCAGTTGTGCACTGCTACCATCACAACTTGAACCCAAGATTGGAGGATTTCTTTGTGATAGCGTATGAGCTGGGCGCGGCGATTCCAGTCAACAAAGATGGCCATCAAAAGCTCAGCCTGTTCGGCGAGCTCTATCTCTTGCTCCTCCTCTTTCAGTAAGCCATCCTTCCTCCAATACTTTAGCTTCAGCCGGATTACCTGTTCTAGCAGCGGTATCGAGTATAGTGTACAACCCTCCTTCTCTTCCTGGCATGATTCGAGGCTCACACCTTCAAAAAACTTGTGCTGATCTGGTAGGGCGCGTTCTGGGTAGGCCAGCTCCATGAAATCGAACAGATCAAAAATGTTGGGATTCACACCAGCGTCCTCACCAGGTCTAATGGTGGTGCCAAGAAGTAGAGATTGGATCCTGGATTTCATGGTCGGCATGTTTTCTTTAACTGTCAACCGAAGTTCTCTCGACTCATAGTCTAAGAATGCGGCACGACGTTGGAGAAAGTTCTGTAGGGCAAGTGCCGGCGGCCCAGAGAAGAATGCAGAATAGTCGCTAGGGGCAACTCCAAGTCCTTGAGCTAGAGACATGCCGTCCCAGGGTATCTCGAGAGTGATGGGGGTGAGTTGGGGTGCTTCAATAAATAGCAACTCGTTGTCGCGCAGCTCCTCCATGATGATAGCACTCGTTAGCGGCGAGCGCCAGAGTTTCTGAAGCACCTGCCAGCACCGGGTCTTGATCGCAGCTCTCCATGCCAAGAACTGCTCTCCGTCGTTGTCCGGGTACTCAACGCCCAGCAGAAGGATGCTGTGGAAGAGAGCTTGTCCATTGGACCAAAGACTGTCGTCAGCAATTCGGACAGCATTTGTCCCGCACGAGAAACCCAAGAGAATGTGAGCGATTGTTGGCCGGAGAGATACAGCAGCCAAACAACTGTTCAGGAAATCCAAGATGCGAAGTTTGACAATGTATCCAGAAGCTTCTTCTCCGGCCTCAAGCTCTTCGGCGCTGAATCGCATCAGACTCGCAAGAGACCTGCCAATACGCTCTGCCTCGTTGTCCTTCTCCAATATACCAACAATCTTGCTTCGGCCAGATCGTTGTCCGAATCCTGCAGGGGAGACTGCAAGTTTGCGGGACGAAGCCATCTTCTCCAGTAATTGAAGAGAAGCAATTGTCAAGGCCTCATGGCCTGTGCCACAGTACAAGCCAAGATCAACAACGATTTGAAGGTTGTTCAAAATCGCGTCCTCGAAAGACGCTAGTGATAGATTTGATACTGGAGAATGCTGGAAAGAGGTCTGCTGCTTAAGTACTGGCCTGACGATGTCCAGGTACGTAGCTTGAAGCTTCATGACCCAGTCCATCACCTCAATGCTCAGCATGAGAGATTGGATCAGGGGCGAGTCTGACGGAGCAGCGTCGACCATAGTCACATCGTGATGCGAGGCTGCGAAGAGGGCCTTGAGGACTTTGTCATTGAAAAGCCACTCCATGACGCGTGCGAACGGGTGCAGCGCAACATAAACAGCAAGGGATGAAGGATCAATAACATCGTCAACAGGTATGCTAGACTTGTTTGCGAAGACGACGAGGTTCTCATTGAATGTCGAGAGGCAAGTTACCATGAAGCGCAAGCAAGTCCACCGCATGACGTTGCGTTGCAGAGGATCAAGTACATCCAAAGAGCGCTCTGCAAACACCTGCTGCATGACAAAGTCGATAAAGCCCTCAATACCAGGCGTTCTACGCGAAGAACCCAACCCTTCGGGGAATGGCAGACTGTCGTTCAAGCCTTCGTTCTCAGGGTAGGGCTCTACCAGCATGTGGAGAAGGCGAACCAAGGCGATGGACTCGTCGTATCCGTCTGCGAGTGTGGGCCACAAGTCATCCCTTGGTGCAGCTCCCAGAGTGTTGTTCTGCTTGGAGCCAGTGTAGAAGCCGTTAACAGTCCAATCGTCAAGCATGAACCACATGGCATTGGCACGTGGAGCATCCTTGCCTACAAGCAGGGCGGAGAGGGCGTCGAAAGCAGCTGCGCGCAATCCGCTCTCGACTTTGTCAGTGCAGAGACCAAAGCAGATGTTAGCAAAGTCGAACTCCTTGACCTCGAGTATCCAGTTGCGGGCAGTGGGACTTTGTCGACAGATGTGCGAAATGAGTCGGAAGTAGCTTTCGAGCATCGTCGCACTTTCCGGCTCTACAATCTGGTCAATTGGGTTGGTGGCGGCAGCATATACGCCAGCCTGAATGGCCTTCTTCGGTTCGTGAATATCCTTTTCGAACTCACTCAATTCGTTGAAGATTGTGGTGTAACTGAGCGAGCTGGTTCGGCGAATCTTGCCAGAGGCAGACGCGCCTTCTTCGAGCAGGAAGCGATGCGCAGCTTCCGCATTCGTCTCTCCAGTACCGATGGCACGCAGCATTTCGCAAAACATGGCTATCCGTGGTGTAGGCTGCCGCTTGGCCGCCCATTGTAGAAATCCGTACAGGTTACTCTCCTTGTCGCTCCAGAAGTCTTCGGCAGCGTCGGGGAAGCCATCGAATGCGTAGGCTACAATCACCATGAATCGCTCCAGATGCAGTGGGTACTCCCCGGTTGATCTCTGGAAGTGGAGTTGCAGTCGTCGGCGCTGATCGTCCTCCTCGGCCTTGAGTTTGCGTAGCGTGTCCGGCATGTGTGTGATGAAGGAATCGACAAACGTCTGCAACTGCTCCATAAGGAGGTTCTTGAAGAAGTCTTCGGGCTGCACCGAGTCTCGGCTCAAGACAGCCGTGTCTTGCAGGAGCGTTGACAACATGCTAGTCTTCTGGGGGTCATACCAGCGCGTTGGGCGGACATCCTGGCTGACGGAAAGCATGAAATGGAATGCGCCATCACCGAGGGCCTTGAGGAAGACGTCGGATCGCGCGTTGGCCTCATCGTCAAAGTTGATGCCTTGCAGCGCAGCGTCTTGGGTGTTGGGGTCCATGTAGCGTCCGCTATACTCTGCCAGCCACCAAGTCAATGTTGCCGCGTGCAGATTCCTCAACAGCCAGTTGTCGCTTTCACGTCCACTCATCAACGAGTCGTGCAAGTTCCGCGCTTCCTTCAATGTGACGTTGTTGCTGTCTGAGGCGACCCAGGACGTGAGCCGAAGAAGGATAGGAACGTAATGGATGGTATTAAGGTCATGTCGATCGAGCAATTTAGCGCGGGCAAGCAAGGACTTGTAGTTGTCGAGATTGACGTATCCGGGCTTGATCATATGGGTACAAATTGCAGCCAGGTTCTCATGCTGTCTGGTCAGACTCTGGCGCTGGAAGTCCATGATTTCCACAAACCCGGGCAGAGGTACTTGGCCCACAACCTGGGTGCTCTGCACGCGCTCGGCAATGAACTGCAACCACCTCTCCACTGCCTCCATACTCGTCAGGCACTTGGCCCAGAAACCAAAGGCATTGGCCAAGTTTGTTGTGCCGTGTACACCGACGATCATCTGGACAGCCTCCTGCAGCACGGGCAGCCCCTCAACTTGAGCATCGTCACTGTCCAGAGCCGTCTTCATCAAGATGCGCACACACAGGAGGACATACTCGCGGCGGCGGTGGAAGCGGATGACTGCTGTCTGCAACTGGGAGCGGTCTAGCTCACGGGCTTCGGTTTGGGCACCGAGGAAGAGGGCGGCGGCATCGAGTTCATCGAGATCCAGGGCATCAGCGAGTTCAAGCGTCTGTTGTTTGAAGTCGTCGTTGACCTCGTACTCGTTGTCGTCAATGGTGATCTTGCCTGGCGCAGTCAGCACTCGTCTCTTCACACAGCATGGCGGGCTTGTTACCGGAAGCCAGAGCCTGTCTGCTCTTGTCGTTCTTTGGTTTCTTGTCCAGCAGCGTCTTGAGCTCCTCCAAATGCGCTTCCAGATTCAGTAGCAGGCGCTCAAGCACCGGCAGTTGCAGGTCGATGTGGGCGCATAGGTCGCGGTGGAGGCCCTGGAGGGCGGCGAGGCTATCTTGTTCAGCCATGACAGTGTTGCGCAGTCGGCTGGCGCATTATCCGTGGTTGGTGTCTTTGTGTTTTGGCAGCAGTGAAGCTCGATGGACTTTCTCCCAACGCGAGAAGCTCTTAGCGCCGATTGTGGGCCAGCCCTAGACGCGCTCCCCCCGTCACCACCACCACCTCCGCCCTGAACTCCGCACCCACACAAGCTGCAATGGGCACAGAGATGCTGCGGCCATAGAGTCCCCCCAAATAGTTGCTGCGGATATCGCGACATGCCGACTCCGGCCTCGCGCCATTGACTGCTCTGAGACGGCGCAGCATCCGCAGCAGTGGCTGTAGTGAGGGACAGCCATGGGGGCAACCAACATCCAGGACGCAAAGCGTGAGCGCCCACAAACAACGGCCTTGGATGAATGCATGTGTAGGTGCTAACAGCGTGCAGTCCTGATCCAGTCGTCACGTGTGGCCGACCGAACAACGGGCCTCAAAGACCTCATCCACATACTCAAGCACAATCGCGGCAAGCCCAGCCTCGAGGCGCTGGGCAACAAGGCATACCTCGCTCTGTGCGAGACTCTGTTCCAATGCCTGCGTGATGAACGAGCTGCCTTTGTGCGCAGCAAGGCCAGGACGCCTAAGACGGCCGCCAACCTTCCCTTGGCCGCCTCGGCCTTGCGCCATGTCATTGCGTCGGGCGTGCGCACCATCAAGAGCTCCACCGTAGAGATCATCATAGACACCATCATCCAAGTATTGCCTGCCAATGCCGGCTTGGTCGAGCCACTCCTGGAAGACCTGCCCAAGACACTGCGCTCACTCCTCGAATACCAGCCCCATGTCGAGCGTCTGTCCAAAGACTGTTGGGACGATGCAGTGGACTTCTGCATCACCTCACTGGCTGGCTTCTTCTCAGAGCCCACCGCCGCTGAAGGTGAGCCTCAGAATAGCTGGAGCACTAACACCTCAAGCCGTGCTCGTACCCCACTCGAGCCTGCCGACTTCCCTTCTTCTAGAGCGTCGCCTCGTGTGGCTGTGTCGAGGACCAAACCAGTCGTTGCACAGCATGTCTACGCAGCAGATGACTTTGTGCACTGCATCCATCATCTTGTCAAAGCGTCCAATGCGCCACTGCTCGATCGCTCCGAGGCTGTCTTGACTGCTCTGTTGCGCTACTTGCAACACAAGACCGGGCGTGGCAGTGTCGTCGTGGCTGCACTTGCAGCCGTGAATTCTGTTCTTGTTCGCACTGCACTGCAGTCCCTTGAATTGACTAAGCGGACGACACGTAAATTGCTTCCCCTGCTAAAGTCTATGTGGTCTGATGCCATACTGCGAGACGAAATCTTAATTACCTTGACATACACTGAAGCACATATCGCAAGTCTCCTCAATGATGCATACGATGAAACCACAAGCTCGGATCTTGAGGTCCTCATCGAGACCATGTATAACGACTATCGACGCCGACAAGAAACCACCGCTCACCAGTATCTCGAAGAAGATCATCTCTGCTTGACCCATCTAGGTTCTCATACTGACGATACCCATCCACTACACACTTGTGCTTTTTCAATGGACATAGAGCATCAACGTCACGAAGGGCTCTGGTCTACAGTCGCTACCATTGCTCGCTTCTCCTTTATGCTTGACCAACGAAGACGTACCATTGCCTGCGACCGCAGCGATACTGAAGAGAGTTCTAGCAAGCGTCTTCGTGTTACTCAATTGTTTTCGGAATACCTGCGTCACGTATCTGAACCTAGATCCAACGCCAAACGAGCAGCATTACAAATTGTTGCCTTTATGACACAGCAAGGTCCTTTCGTTGAGGAGGACCTCCAACCTATGTTAGAGAAGCTCACTTCATGCATCTCTGATGAAAACCCCGTACATTCTGTTTGGGCAATGTTAGGCTTGGCTGGGTGAGTGTTACGGTCGTATGCAACCACCTTTATCTGACTTCCACTTAGAGCTGCCTTCCAGCAATCAGCCAGTCATCCGTCACTTCTGCCTTTTTGGATATCTGCCTGGCAGAGCGCTTCCCGATCAGTCACTTCCATTTCTTTATCTCGCGTGGCATGCCATCTTATGGACATCCTGCTCAGACTCAACATTGTTCCATTCTCGGAGGTGTCAGCGACCGCTCAGTCCATGCTTGCATCCATCGAATTAACTGGGCCTGCGTTACTCACCGAAAGCAGCTCATCATTGATGACTACCATCTTACAGGAGCGTGTCAAAGAGAACCCAACCCACTTCAGCTCCACTGCAGAGCGAATCTTGAATTGGTTTCTTGGCAAATGGACCCCAAGTAGGTGCTACCGTACGTTCTCGAGAATTCAACTAAGAATATTCAAGGTTCATGGTCTGAGCGAACCTACTCTTCGGTGGCTGCGCACCACTGCAATGCTCGCGATGTGCTACGTGTTATTTACACCTGTCTTGACCTGACTTTTGCTCCACCAAAAGCAGCAACCTTTCTTGTATTGGGATCCGTAGCGCAGGCTAAGACTCATACAGCTCGTTACAAAGATCTGGCTAATTACCTCTTGCTTCTTCCACCCGTAAAGGATTCCGCGACAAAGACTGCCTATGGGCACACTGCTTCCGAGGAGCAAACAAGCGACTATCACCCTACACAAATGGGAAACAGAATACTTGATTTCTGCCTGTCAGAGGTTGATAAGGCAAAGCAACGTTGGAAAGACATGATTGCAACAAATACTGCAGGCATTACTTCGGATATGATGCGGATCGTCACGAATCTATCCATCGTTGCGCCAGCTGTCGCTGCGCTTGTTAACCCGGACGATCGCCGAGTATCGGCTCTTCAGTCGTCCGTGGTTGATCTAATTGACCTCCTTTCTGTCACTCTGACCAAACCGCAGACGGAACAATACAAGATTGATGCCGTCCTTGCAGTCTGCACGAAGAGCCTTCCTGACATTGGTTCACTTCAAGGTCGGAATACTGAGGTCTATAAGCGAACTGGCATCCATTTAGTAGCTCAGCACTTGTCTACGGCTCTCAGCCAACGCAAAGACTTCAAGCAATCATTCTATGCCGAGGATGAGGATTTCATGGAGATGGATGATGCGTCTGGCTCACAGATGACCGTAGGAGCATCCGTTTTTGATAACGATATACCCCGTCACGACCTCCAGGCGGAGAACGACATATCGGCTTTGCGTGCGTCCTGCTCAACATACCTCCAGTTTATATCCTCTTTAATGGATTGCCCGGAACCAGACCAAGGAATGATTCCAACTAGATTCACAGACCACTTGTTGTCTCTTTCAGAGAGCGATCTCCTTTACTCACGGCAATTCCTTCGCGCATTATGGACCAGCAGCTTGAAAATCTCCAGAAGTGACTGCCTGAGTCTCCTAGAGCGCTTTAGTGAAGCCCTCATTGATCCTCGCGCTCGCGAATACAACACATCGGAAGTTGCCAATAGTATGCTTGTGGAGGTTTTGATTGGCACAACACTTGTCTGGACATCTGATGCAGTCGACAGGGAAGCCCAAGATCTCTATGAGAACATCGAGGCGTTATATGTATATTACGTCAAAGAGATGGAAAAAGGGGGAGTAAGACGCTCAGCTAATTTGCAGACAACTATTGCTATCTTCCTTCATGGTCTACTCAAACACCATCCTGACTTTGCGCACAACCGCAAGGTCCCTTCGGTCCGCACGAGTTTGTTTGAGCTGCTAGCGAGTGGCGAAATGACCGTCAAATATCATATCGCTGAACGCCTACCGAGGATATTCGAAGATTTCGTCCTGTCCGAGCACGACAAGATACTACAAGACGTCGATAGTAGTCTTCCTGGGGATGATGAGGGCACCGAAGGCATCGCTGTTCGACTACTGGTCCTCTCTCGGCTGGCGTCTCAATGGCACACATTATTACGCCATAGCGTATACCGCATCTTCGCAACAGCGGGAACAATACCTGGGGCCGCTCTTCATGCCGAACGCTGTATTTCCAAGGTCGCCCAGTCCAGGTGTCTTGGTGACTCCCAAAGCCTGTTCAGACTATTTGCTCCCCAAGTTATCTTCACATGGTTAGATCGAGGTCAGGAGATCAGTGCGATCCCTTTTCTAATTTTTGACTATGATTCTCTTCCGGATCTGTTACGGGACATAGAAGCTGAGGTCGTGGGACAGGCAATCATGTTTGGTCGTAAAGATGAGGTGGAGTACCTGGCCAGCCAGTTGGGCTATTCAGCACAACATCTATTGTCGAAAAATATCGGCAAAGCAGCCGCATACACAATAGCATGGGATACATGCAGAGGCTCAGCTCGCAACAAAGCAGAGTCGAGCTTCGGTAATCTGCTGAAGGAGATGGTCGGCAGTGACCAGTACTATGTCTTGATACAGAAGCATTTCCCCCAGGTTCTTGGACATATGCTTCAAACCATCGATCACGAAGAACGCCTTGGCAAGTCGTTAGACAAAAAACCTGCCTTTAACCCTGCTGCAGCAGTTCTAGCCGAAATTACTGCGATCAGTCAATCTGCGCAGGGCCTCAATATGGGGATAGAGCCTTCATTCTCTGCCTTTTACTTACCAGATCAACTAGAGCGCTTGTGTAGACGGACAGGTGATAGGCCTACTGGTTTTTGGTCTCCAAGTACATACACCTTTGTGTTGCGCTCTCTCCTCGATCGCATTCATCCAGCCCTTGGTTCTCTTTTTGCAAGGTCGGTGATCCGCAAAATCCGAGTTGTTGTTGCATTAGCTGGTCCAATCGCTCACGAAGGTTATCCATTACAAATGACGCTCCAATCTTTACGCCCCTTTCTTACGGACGTACAATGCACAGAGGATACGGTGGGAATCATGCAGTACTTATTTGAGCATGGAGCTGAGTACCTCCGCCAGCAGCTGAGTTTTGTGACGGGTATCGGACTGTCAATTCTCATTTCTCTTCGAGTGTTTTTAAGCTCCTCGCAAGAAAGTACCACTCAGCAGTCGCAACACATGGCGACTATGAATGCAGCCACCCGCTTTCA